AGGGGCCGATGGTGCGATATGGCAGCCTCGCCTCTGTCAGTCTGTCCCAGGGCATGCAATCCATTATTATTTAAACCAACTGCTAACTGTATATTTCTGTACATTTACGTATTATGATTCATATTGCCACATTCATTGACCTTGTTTATAGGTAATTTCATTGTTTGATCACGTCAAAATGTTCCTAATTTTATGTCTAAAAGCACTTGGAAAAGGCAGAATCCCATGTAAAAATTGGCGCAACAAACTCTATTTTCATTACTGAAAATAACTGTATTTTCATGAGAAAGTTATTTTCTGTTATTTTACGGTAGTAAAATAAGCTGCCGGAATATTACTGTTTTTTTAGGAATTTTTTTTTCCTATTTATAGATAATTTCATTGTTTAATCACATTAACATGTTCCCAATTTAATGTTTAAGATCACTTGAAAAGGCACGATCCCATGTAAAATTGGCGCAACAAACTGTATTGTCATTACTGGAAATAACCGTATTTTTATGAAGAAGTTATTTTCTGTTATTTTACGGTAGTATTTTGGCGCCCCAGCTGCCGGAATATTACCGATTTTTTAAGATGTTTTTTTTTAACAGTGCACATAAAGGCAGACAGTGACTAATACGTGCATCTATTTTGAAGATTTAGAGAGACATACATGCTGAATCTTAGTGGTAGATCCTGTAATGGTAAAGTTTCAGGAACTGAAAGTGTCCACTTTGAGTCAGACTGCAATAATAATTAGATTTTTTTTTAATTTTGTGGTTTGTGTTATGCATGCAACATCTTACAGTAAATCATTTATTGGGCTCTTTTAACAGTCTCCAAGTTTCCAATGATAATTTATGATAACGTATAAGGTTTCGTTGCTAAGCAAGTACATGTTTAGAAGTTGCTACTTTTAATTACATATTAATATGTCAATGTAAATGCCTACTTTTTAGGGTACGTAACAGAGATTAGAAGGGCTTAATTTTTTACTTTTTTATTCAGAACTGATAAACAAACAAACTGATAAACCACCGCCTCTGTTCAAAGATGGTCGCTCACAGTGGACATAGATGGCTTCTTTCACTCCTCTTTCAAACCATCTGTCCTCTTTGTACAAAATGTGAACATTGGCATCCTCGAAAGAGTGTCCTTTATCCTTAAGATGCAGATGGACAGCTGAGTCTTGTCCTGTGGAGGTGGCTCTTCTGTGTTGTGC